AGATATTTATTCGATTAATGTCTTCACATGTACACTTTTTCACTGTTGATGAAATAAAATGGCTTTGTCGAACTCAAAGTTGTTCACATGTACACATCGTGAAGGTGTGAAAGATCACAAGAGTCAAGGCAAGAGCAAAAGACTACGCATGAACAGGTACAACTACTGAACATCAGATGTGATACTTTAATCTAGCAATACACGTAGAAACCCGAAGGCAAACCAAAATCAACCAACAGAAAAACCAATAAATAACCAGATAAAACAGAAAAATTTAATTCTCTAATCTATACACAACCATCTCTATGCGTACTGAGACCGACCAGCGTTTCCAAGCTGAGCCGTTTTGGCTGATTCTTCTGCTTTTCCTCTCTTTATGACTACATACCAAGTAAATGCTTCGAGCACGGCCGCGGCTATGCCAAGTGCTACGATTACAGCGGTGTAAGCGTTTCTCCACTCCTTCTCGGGACTCAAGATGTCAAGCCCTTTGAAAATGTTCACCACCGCAAGAACAATCACGGTGTAGCCGATGGTGTGGTGGTAGATGTTCCAGTAAAGCCTGTACTTGTGCTCTGGTTTGGGTCTCAGAAACATCGCAAACACCTAACATGAGACACAAACAAATCGAGTTATGCACCATTTTTTATGAGATATCAAACAGTGACTGCTCTGTTACCTCACCTGAACTGTTGCGAGGGAGAAGAGAGTGATCCCGATAGCACGGTGAGTGCCAAACTGGATCCCGGGTGATTCGCCGCCCAGTTTGAGACCAGTGGCCCAACCGGCTACACCGATGATATAAGCAGAAGACTGGCAGAAAACGTGAATGTAGAACCAAGCAGGAGTTGCAGATTTGGCGACTCTCAAGTATCGAGCAATGATTGCTCCTATTGGCATCATTATTCCCCAGCTCACTCCGTTCAATATTCCATGTATCTACATCATATTAGAAATCAAAACCAAGTTTCAAACAAGAAAGGAGGAAACTATTTTTTCCTTTTCGATACTCAGGGAATCTAGTCTACGAATCTCCCGGGACTGTAAAAAGCCGGATGTTCTTGCCATTTAAAACGTATACAGCAACCAACTATGATTGGCATTAGAGTGAGAGGATTCCAATTCCAAGTATGGTCCTTTAACCTCAGAAAAGGAAGAAACTGATGAAAAAATGAACTCACGTTGCGTTTGCGTAGCTTGGAATCTGCTCCTCCAGCGGTGGTGGATGCCGATGAACCAGAGACAAGATTCAGAGTGGAAACAGAGCGGACATTGTTGCCAGAAGTTGGATGAGGAAGAAGACTGTTCCCTGAAAGAGACCCATCTTGCCACAAAATATTAATGGTTCCACCATTCGCTAATGGAAGATTCAGAATTGCGTAGATGACCATCTCGTTATTTTGGTATGTAGCAGACAACTCAGAGACGTTGAAACTCAGCTCAGCTTCTTGGAGATTGGTCTGGTAGCTACTGATGGGTGACTTGTATACCCGAATGGTACCGTCTTGTTGTGGATAAGCCACAATGGCTTGAGCTCCGACCATACCAGTGGATGTTGGATTCACGGCCCAAGATACCCATTTCCCAGAGGTTAGCTTTGTGTGGCGATAAGCGATTTGGAGATCGCCGGAAGACGAATCGTAAGTGTAATGGAGGAAGGAATCAAGAACAGGAAGGTCATTGCAGGACTTAAAGAGACGGTTGCTTGAGAACTTGTAGTTGGTACATGTTTGAGCTAAGGCGGATTCGGTGATGATGAAGATGAAAACAGAGAGACAGAGGAGAAGATTCGAGATTTTGGCCATGGATATTAACAAAAAGATGAACAAAAAATCAGAATCTTGAGTTAAGATTGGAGGAAGAAGAATGAGATTAATTATGAAGGGGAAAGAGAGAAGGAGGAGGTTAAGTATGAAGAGAAAGTGGGACAAGTAGGGTTAGGTTTGTTAGTTAATCTGTCTTAATAAAGAATCTTTAATTCTCTTCATCACA